AAAATGGAAGATATCTGCTGTTCCTGTATAGGCAGAACCAATACACCGTCAAAATGTCCATACTTCAAAAACTGATATAAAGATTTAATGCAACTGCAAGCAAAACACCAATAGCATTTCACACAGATCTAGGGGAAAAAAAATCTTAAAATTGGGCCGGGGATTTAGTTCAGTGGTTTCCCCGCCTGCTGCACAAGTGCAAGGACCTGAGTTCAGTCCCTGGTACCAAAAAAAAATCTTAAAATTCATATAGAACTAGAAGAGACCCAGAATAGCAAAAGCTATCCTGAGCAACAAGAGCAAAGGAGGAGGCATTAAAATTCCTGACTTCAAGTTAAAAAGCTACAGTGATTAAAAACAGCATGGTACTGACATAAAAACAGACATGCAAATCAATGGAACAGAATAGAGGATGCAGAAACAACCCGAGGCACAGCTCTCTGATCCTTGACAAAGGGGCCAAAACTGTATGCTGGAAGAAAAAGAGCCTCTTTATATAATGGCACTGGCAAAATTGGCTATCCACATCCAGAAGATTGAATCTAGAACCATATCTCTCTTCATGCTCTAAGCAAAAATCAAAATAAATCTAAGATCTAAATTTTAAATCAAAAACAATCTGCGAGAAGATAAAATAGTTAAAACTCTTGATGACATGAGCATAGGTGAGATTTTTCTGAACAGAACTCCAGTTGCCCAACAAATAACATCAAAATCAATAAATAGAATCATACCAAATTTAAAAGTTTCTGCACAGGAAACAGAATAAAGAGACAAACTACAGAATGGGAAAAAAAATTTTGCCACCAATTCCTCAGACAAAAGACTAATATGTAGAATATATAAAGAGCTAAAAAAAATTAGATCCCCCAAATAAAAGACCCAATCAAAAAATGGGCAATTGAAATGAACAGACACTTTGCAGAATATTTAGAACAAATGGCTAATAAATACATGAAAAAATATTCAAAATCTCTGGCTATTAGAGAAATGCAAATTAAAACAACATTGAGATACCTACTCCAGAAAGAATGGCTATCATCAAGAAATCAAATACTATAATAACAAATGCTGGGTGAGCTGCAGGGAAAAGGAACTCTTTTACATTGCTTGGTCAGTATGTATACAATCATTATGGAAATCAGTATGGAGATTCCTCAGAAAACTAAAACTAGAAATTCCATTTGACCCAGGTAATCCCCTTCTAGGTTTTTAGGTTTTTTTAGATCTTTTGCAAAGGGGAAAGAGACCGAGAACAGAGAGGAGAGAGGGAAGGGAAAGGGATAAAAAAGAATTAAGATGTGTTATGTACATGTACCAACTCCCCACAAGGAACGTAATCATTATGTACTGAAAACATACACTAATAAAAAAATTAAACTTTTTATAAAAATTGTAAAAAAGGAAAAAAAATTCTGGAACCTGGCAAGAATAAGCATGTTACACTTAACTCAGCAGATGACATAAGGCTGAAACTTAAGCCTGAAAAAGCGTGGATGATAGGTGAGATAGCCATTAAGAAGCAGGACACAGGTATTTCTCTATTCCAGAAACATTAAGCAACCAGGTAACCAGTGGAAGTGTGTTGTGGGGCAAAAAGCAGGATTGGGTGAGAATATAGGGAACAGCTAATCTGCCAGATGACCTCTGCTCTTGCCCAAGCAACTGTCCTGCCCCCATTAAAACAGAAGACAGCACTCTAGCTTATAGAGAGGCCAAAGTGGAGAAGCTGCAGGTCCAAGACTCTAAGCACAAGGGCAGGGAGGAGATACTGTATCACAACCAGGAAGATTAGACCTGGTAAAGGAATCTCTGAATGGCAGTGAGCCAGCTTTCTTCCTTGCCTACCTTCCATCCCCTAGTTCAGAGGAGTGGTCACAAAATTTACATTACAACCATCCTTCTGATCTCCTCACCCCCATCCTGCCACAACCATCACCTCTGATCACACAGCCCACCCCAACAGCTAGGAAACTGAAGGACTACTCTGCTGAGTGCTAAGTCTAAGTCGGGATGATGAATAGCTACAGGTACTGACATCTGGTGGATCCCCATGAAATAGATCTTCACCTGTCCACCCCTCAAGGCAACAAGGTCCCTGCTACTCTCCTACACACAAACACATTTGTACCTACATCTTCTAATCAGCACTCTTAAATGTCAGCCAGCCAAGAAATGCTTATAGTAATGTATGCTGATGCAGAAGAAAAGGAAGAGAGAAGAGGATCAGGAAAAACAAAGACAAGAAAGTAGAAAACTTTTTAAAAATGTAATACCACAGAGACATGATATGATACTTCTTCCATAAGGGAGCAGTAGTATTCTTTTTTAAAAAAGAGAATATTTATGGGTGCATTGAGAGAAAAAAGAACACAGTTAGAAAATGTATAATTCTGGGTATGTCATCTAAGGGGTATGCCGTCTAAGGGGATAGCTGGTGCTAGAGTAGAGATGGAAACAAGTTTAGGATGGGCGAGCAAGAGAAAAAGAACCTGGATCTTTAGAACTGCTGAGCTGCCATTGCAGCCCTGGCACCCCTCCTGAGAGACTAAAGACAGAAGTAAAACAACTGAAAAAGAAACTCTACCTTATTTAATGCATAATTTTCAAGTTTTTTCCTACTTGCATCTTAACTATATACTACTACTAATATATATATAATATACATGATGTAATATTGCATATGTGCTACACAGTAAGTTTTCCTCCAAATCCCTACTATATGAAACAAAAACAAGTATGTTCTAAGCTTATTATCTTGTTGTTTCTATTAACTATGCTTAAGTCTATCTTACACTAGCCAAGAAAGCTGAGTGCTAACAGTTCAAATTTGAGGATTACATATTAATAAATTTTATCATGTGTAATAAAATGCAATGCTGAAGGACCTATGGAATACAACCCCAGGTGTCCACAGCACACTACTCTCATTGTTTTCAGATGTTGCAGAATCACTCCACTGAAGGCTTACCTTCAATTTCCCTTCAGTCTGAAACTTTTTTCTTTTAAATTCATATTGGATGACTGATGGCCAGCATAATAAATATTTTATCTTTCTACACCTTTTCCCTAAGAAGAATATGCCTTTTTGACAGTGAAGCACTGTCAGACACCTGGAGTCCAAACTTCGTTCTGAACTCTTTTGTCCAGAGTAAGCACCACAGCTTCTAAATGTTTTTACATTGCTATAACATATCTATTAAAATATGCTATTCAATTTTATCTAGATCAAAATTTACTTTCATAAATATACTAGAAATCCTATAGACAGCGGAATAATTGAGAAGAGGAAATAAAACCAATCATTATGAGTTTAACTGTTTGGCTTAACACTATTACCTACATTGTAAACTATATTTATTCTGATAATGTCTAAAAATTTCACAATAAGTAAAAATTTCACAAAATGCTAAAAGAAAAATATTCAGCAGAGGCAGTTGATGTAATTAATTCTTATATAATTTTCTTATGACATCTGGCACAACTAAACAAATCAGTAATTGAACCATTTATCCCTACTCCCTTTCTCAGAGTTCTAGCTTTCTCATTGATGACTGATTGGGTTGTATGTGTAGCTACGATGTGAGGGTAATGATAGCAGGTATTTTTGTATGGAAAAAAAAAGAAAAAGAAAAAAGTCTAAGACACGCTAAGCCTCAAAGGTTAAGCAGAACAATAAAGAAATGGGCTTAGTCATCCACCTGTTTCTACCTTTCCACATCAATTTACTATATCTACTCAACTCGCATCATCTGCACAACCAAGCACTTCAGTATAGCTTGACTCTGAAACATAATTGATCAAACTTCTCACCTGGAAAGGATCAATCAAAAGTAAACAATTCTATTTATTTATTGTTATAACACTAAGAAAACCAGCCCTTCTAATTAACCAAAATGTGGAACCCTTTAATTTGTTTCCATTCATGACAAGAATAACCAGTTTACTAGACAACGCCTCCATCCTTAAAAATCACAGCATCACTTATTGCTAATGAATAAAAAAGAAATTAAGGGATGATAAAATACTAATCCTGAAGTTTAGAAACACCTTCATATTTGCACTAAAATTTTCATCTTAGAATTCTTGGCACTTAAGTTCTATATTTTAAAAAAAATTTTTAAAGGTCTTAAATGTAAATAAAATAGATAGTATCTATGGTAGAAAAAGCTACTACTTTTCTTGTATAAGCTACTGAGCTGAAGATGATGAATAGCATTTATACTGAAAGGCTTTATAATCACATCCTCTAGCCCAACCTTCAGAAAAACAATTTGTCTAGAGGGACACAGCTTAAAATTTACACTGGGAGAGGTCCTTTTCAAGGAACAAGGATCACTGACCTATGCAACAACAAATAAGACAACCTGCCAAATCAATGCTCAGTACTCAGTAAACTTGCTACTGCCATAAATGTCACAACTACTCCACCAGAGCCTGGCCAGTATAGGTTCTATGAAACTTCCACCACAGACCCTTAGACTAGTTTGTCTTCCCTCTGCCTATTTTGTTAACTGCCTAGGCAGTATTTCTCAATTTTGGGTTTTCCTCTAAGAGAAGTAGTGAAGTAAGGAAATTTGCTCACATCACACAATAACTTATTCTAGTATGAGTGTACCTGAAGAGGATTAAGAGTTACTGACGGTACACACTCAAGGTTTAAAAAAGTGCTAAAGGGTAGAGTAAATAAAGTTACAGCAGGTCTGTTATCCAAAGTTTCTCACCTTCACATTATGGTGCACTATTTTAACTATGAAATAAAACCTCAACATGTACAATTAAAAAGGTATAGACTTGATCCTTACATCTCTTCCTAAAAAAGGAATATATGAGAGTTAGATCTGTGGATTCAAAATATCAACTTTTAAAATAAGTAATATTGCTAAATCAACAGGAGTTAAAACAAAATCTCTTGTCTAATCTCAATTTAGCTGAAATGTATAACAAATATAAATCACATTATTTAACTGTTTATTGCAGTAGAAAATGAAAAAGCTCACCTTCTCAATATTTATCTGGTGCTTTCGTAACCTTTCCAGATCTGTTGGGATTACTATCTTAGTGAATTTCTGAATAGCTGGTTCAAGACGGCGTAATTTCACTTTTTCTTCATTTTCAAACATCCTAAAAAGTATTTTGTCACTTCCACTTCCAGCAACTGTCTTCTCCACCCATACAAAAACCTAAAAAGAAAATACTTCTTTAACAATGTTTTAAGCTCTTGTTGCTTTTGCTGTCTTCCACAGCCATGAACTGTTGCCCCTCTGCCACCCTGCCTTGGAGCTAGCTGATCATGGACTGAAACCTCTACCAATTGATGTCCTTCCTTCAACCTAGCTTCACTCGGAGCCGGTCCCAGCACCTGGAAGGAAGCTCCCCACACCGCCATCCCAAGCTCCTAGGGCAGAGAAGCTGAGCCACACCAGTGCCAGAAGCAC